CCACAGGGATAACTGGGTTTCCTCGGGAGCTTATGATTAGTCTCAAGTGAAGAACACTAAGAAAGTTTGCTTCTCACATCACCCTCTGGAGGGAAGTATCAAACCAGACCATTTTGCAGATGTGGGGACTGAGGCTCTCAGGCAGACTTGGCTCAGTCCTGGATCCGGCCCCCATCAGCTGTGGAGTCTCAGGCTGGTAACGAACAGAAGAGAAAGCCATGTGCATGTTTCTCAAGACCTCGCACTTACATAAAGCCAAGGTGGTCAGATGAGGTGGTCCACGATTGCACACACCACCACGATGGAAGCGATGTGGAAGCCCACACTGCCTTTTACTCAGTGTTTTAATTTCAACTCTCGAGCTGTGTCTCAGCCCAATCTCTTCACCCTCCCTCTAACACACACTGCTGATAAAGTAGGGTCCCACGAGTGTACCGGAAGGGGCTGGGGGCATGACACAGCTCCCAGGAAAACTTTAGAAGTGAAGGATGCCCGATGGTCCCTCTGGCAGCCAAACTAGGACGAGAGGTGGGTGAATTCCCTGAAGGGCAGAGCAGAGGGACTGGAGGCATTAAGGGTTAGTGGCGGGCAGAGGGGTCTGAGCAGATCCTGGCAGTGACCACCCAGGCACTGGCCAGGCGTGTTTTGTCCAGCTGACCCACATGTCCTGTCTGCCCCAAAGGCTGCAGGACCTCGCTGAGCTGGCATGAGAGCTAGAGACCAGTCTGTGTCCATTCAGATCTGCTAACCAGCTCCCCTGGGTCCAAGTTCACCCTCCACCCCTCGGATCAGGACGACTTCCCAGGAGGCTGCTGACGAGGAGAGGAGGCTGCCCACGCTCACGGCGGAGTGCAGCGCTCACTGAATCAATCAGCTGGCACCTGGGCTCTGGGTGTTCGTGGAGGGACAATCCGTGGGCATAAGTGGCACTCGAGTCTGGGCCAGTGAGATCTGGCTCTTTGGGCGAGATGTCAGACCCTGGGCCCCCCTGGAAACGCCCCTCACCATCTCCCTGCCCAGGAGACACTCTGAGCCCTCTGTCCCCACTTCATTCCAAGAACACATTTGAGCATGTCAAAATGTATCAGTTAAAAAAGAAAAAGAAAAAGTTGCTGCTAAAAACCTAACGGAGAAAAAAATGGAATAGGGAAACACGTAAGTCATCCTGAAAGGATTCAGGAAAATGGGAGGAAAAGAGAACCAAATATAAAGAGTTCAACCATATCAGTAATTTATTAAATAACATGGAACAAACTATCCTATTGAAAGACAAATACTGGGGCTTTCCTGGTGGCTCAGCAGTGAAGAATCCGCCTGCCAACGTAGGAGACATGGGTTCAATCCCCGGTCCGGGAAGATCTCACACGTCTCAGAGCAACTAAGGCCGTGTGCCCCATTTTCTAAGCCTGTGCTCTGCAAGGAGAGGTCACTGCAAGGAGAAGCCCGCACACTGCAACTGGAGAGCAGCCCCGCTCTCCCCAGCTAGAGAAAGTCCAAGCAGCAACGAAGGTCCACCACAGCCAAAAACAGAGTTTCTAAAAAAGACGAATATTGTCAGATTAGATTAAAAAACAACTGCATGGCATTTATAAGAGACACAGTTTAAATGTAAGGACACAGGTGGATAGAAAAAAGATATACCACCCGAACACCAACCAAAAGTTGAAGGGGCTATATTAATACCAAAATACACTTTAAGGCAAGAGATAGAGGACATTAAAAAAACAATACAAATCAATTTAACAAGATGTAACACTCCTAAGCATTCATGCATCCAAAAACATTGTTTCAAAATACACAAGGCCCACTGGAAATTTCTGGTGGTCCAGCGGTTAGGACTCGGAGCTTTCACTGCGGGGCCCAGGGTTCCATCCCTGGTCGGAGAATTAAGACCCCACAAGTTGTGGGGCTTGACAAAACAAACAATGCCACAAAGCAAAACTTAGAACAACAAGCTGGAGATTTTAACTCCTCTCTCAGTAAATGATAGAGCATGAAAACAAGAGAATTACAAGGGAGACAGAAGATGTGAACACAAACAGAACATTACACCCAACAGCTGTAGAATAAAACCATTAGGCCAAAGGTTGATGAAGATCTGGACACCTGCACAATATCAGAGAACCCCCCTACAGATTACTGAAATCCCCACTGCACCCCTAGTACCGCCACTATGGTAAAACAGGCTACCTACCGCCCTTTGAATGCAGTGATCACACCTAGCACCACTAATCAGCAACAACCACACACTGGCCTCCAGAAGTGTTACAGCATGAAGGACACAGCATCACCTACCATACAGTCTTTACAAAACACTTAATTCTAATCAAGACTTAAAACCTAACCTCTGCTAAACGGGAAAGCAGCCAACAGAGGAAAAAGTTACACATCACCACAGGGAGATAGTCAGAGTGTGGCATCTTCTACAAGACAACTGGCCTGGTCTTTTCCAAGAAACAATGTCATAAGAAGAGGGAGGGGGATTTTTCTAGACCAGTGGTTCTCGAACTTCAATGCACATGAAGTCATGTGGACTCCAGAGTCATGTGGAGGGTGGGGTGGATGGTTGAAACTCAGATCGAATCAGTTTCGGATTCAGTCTGTCTGGAGTGAGGTCTAAAAATGTGCATTTTGATAGGTTGAAAGAAATTTTTTTAAAGTGCATTTCTCACCACTTGTCAGGAGATGCTGGATCTCTTGTTAGGCCACACTGGGAAACCTTTTGTTTTTGATTAACCAAGAGACACAAACATTGAACATTACCTTTGATTAGATCCTGGTTCGAACAAGCAAGCAGGCAACACCACCGAGAGGTAACAGCTCTTTTGGGGACAAACAGGAAGCTTCAATATGAACCATCAATAGAAGCCGAGTGATATTAGGGAATGATGCTTGATTTCACTAGATATGTTCATTGTATCTAGTTACAAAGGAGAAATACCCTTCGTTTTGATAATGCCTTGCTTCATTCTGAAGTCCCCCTGGTGGCTCAGAGGGTAAAGAATTGGCCTGTAATGCAGGTAGACCCGGGTTCGATCCCTGAAGAAGAGAACGGTAACCCACTCCAGTACTCTTGCCTGGAGAACCCCATGGACAGAGGAGCCGGTGGGTTACAGTCCACGGGGTCGCAACGGAGTAGGACACGACTGAGTGACTCGACAGCAACAGAGGCAGGGTTGGCAGAAAGAGGGAGCTCGGAGGAGCAGCACAGCCTCCTCAGACGAAACCAGTCCTCGGGGATAGGAGCTGAGGGCGAGCAGTCTGTTACAAATGACCAGGTGCAGAGGCGAGGGTGGCTCAGGCTACAGGAAGGAAGGGCCCCTCAGCGATGGTGGGCCTTTACCTGAAGGCAGAGCTGCCCACTCTCCTCTCAGGCTCTCTCCGGATGGAGGCTGCGCTCACCTCCTCCACCCTTGTTCAGAGAAACTTTCTGTTCTGGACAGAATTCTGTCTGCCCAACCCCACTAACCCCCAACCAACAGTCTTTTAGAATGTAACTGTATTTGGAGACAGTTTAAGGCGATAATGAAATGAAAAATGAGGTCATAAGGGTGGCCCTAATCTAATATGACCAGCTTCCTTACAAGGAGTTAGGAAGCGCGTACACATACATACACACACACATGTGAAGACACAGGGAGAAAACAGCCAAGAGAGGCCTCAGAGGAAACCAACCCCACGGACACCTGGATCTTGGACCCTGCAATCCAGCAGCACCGTGAAAAAAGACACTTCAGATGCGCAAGTGCGGTACTGTCACTGCGGCCCGAGCAAGCTAGCACGCCTTCCTCCTCCTCCAGGAAGCCTGAGAGGAGACCCCTCAGCGAGGTCCACGTTCTCCACCCACCTTCTCATCCAGGTAAGAAGAGCAAATTCCTTCAAGGTCAATTCAATGCAACCTCTGTAGAAAACTAACTATTGTGTCTCCAGAACCTCATCAAGAAACTTGGGATTTTTTGGGGGGGGTTGGGAGGGGTCTCTCCTTAGAGAAATTCTTGGCTTCTCTTCCATGACCATTTTGAGGTCCTGCTGCTTCTAAAGAGACTGTACTGGGACTTCCCTGGGGGTCCAGTGGCTTAGACTTTGAGCTCCCAATGCAAGGAGCTCAGGTTCTGATCAGGGAACTAAATGCCACATGCTGCAACTAAAGATATGGCATGCCACAATGAAGATCGAAGATCCTGAGTGCCTCAACTAGGACCCAGTATAGCCAAATAAATATTTTAAAAATGATAATAAACTATTTTATGGATATTGAAAGCCTGGTGAATCTAAAATTATCAGGATGATGTTTTGTAACACTATTTATATATGGATCTTAAATAAATTATTTCCATTTCCTGTGTTCCCTCAATAGCATAGGAATTATAGTTTAATTTTAAAGAAGTGTGTATGCAGTTCAACCACAGGCATTTAAAATTTGCGAAAGCAATTTTTGTGTGCCTATAAAACTGTACATAGTACATAAATGTAAAAGTTATTCCCTCTAAATAGTGACTGGTTGACAAGAGATCAGCAGTTAGCCCTGGAACCCACAGAGCCTCTAACCCTGGGCCAGGCCACCTCCGTGGCCAGCAGTGCCCAGTAATTGAGCAGGATATTACCAGTTTCTCCACGCCAGGCAGTATTTCTGGCTGCTTGAAATCCAGGGCAGACTTCTTCCCTCTGTTGTGGTCAGTTTGGGAAGGAGGGCGCATTGCCACTCCTGGGACACGTGGGCACCCTGCTCAGCTGTGATGCCAGCCTGCTCCTGCCATGGCCAGAACCAGAGGCTCCACTCCCCGCCAGGGTTGGGTGTCTAAGGTCAATGATCGTCAGTGACCAAGAGGCCAGGCAGATACTGCAGCCGAGTTTGGCTAAGAGACCCACCTCCAAGGAGAACCCACAAGGGAAGTCTAGGGTCAGCAGTTGCTCCCGCAGGGATCAAGCTCTTGATGGGGTTTAAATTGTCCCAGCAAAGCCCAGGGTCCCAGATCTGAGCACCCTAGTGAATCCACCTCCTGAACAAAAAGAATTCAAACAGGCTATCCAGCCTTCCTACTGCCCCTGAAGTCAAGCCAAAGGTCTTGATTTTCAAGTGAGAACGTGGACTTTGGAGGCAAACTGTTGGGGATTATGAAAACAGAACTTAAATTGCTTCCACATCTGGAAACCAAACCCAGCGGCCAGCCCCAAGAATTCCAGGCATGTTAGCCTGGAGAGGCTGCAGGTCAGGGGAGGTGTTTCCTGTTGGCTGAGTCCCTGGCATCCACCTCCCCGAATCCATAGGCAAGAAGTGACTGCGAGCAGCCAGGTGGAACCACACCAGAGAGGAAGCAAAGCCGGGAAGGTAAGACAGCTCTGGCTGCCTGGCCCGTGTCTGCTGCATGCTTTGTGGGGGTGGGTCTCATTTCCTTCCCCTAAAATCCCTGCAAGTAAATACTGTCTCCTTACAGAGAAGGACTCCAGAGAACTTAATCCACACTTTGCCCTCAAGTGATGCTGTGATTCTTCCCTCTAGGCCGCTTTGTCATCACACAGACAGGAGCAGCCATGGGAACCTGAATCAAGAACCCTAACTTCCATGGGCCCCTCTAAATTCTCAAAAAAGACTCCCCAAGGGCCCACCGGGAAGCCCCAGTTCCCACCAGCTATTGTCTCTACGGCTCTCCTCGAGAAAATCGTGGGCGAGGTGGAGGGCCAAACATCCAAAGTGAGCTCTCAGGCTGCATGTTGGGGGGGTGGGGGGTGGGGGGTGTTGCGCGTCAAGGGCTCTCCTGGCTCTCAAAGCAGGCAGCTATTTTGGGCTACAAATTATAGCTTTTAAAGATGTGGCTGTTTGAAGGGAGGGCTTACCACCAGCAGTCTGTGGGGCTTGTCTTGGGGGCTCCCTGTGTTCCCATCTGATAAGAGGAATTTAAAGTGAATGCTGGGGAAGGGATACCAGGGGCCAGCTCTCCACCCCCAAGCCCACCAGGTGGGCCCAGCGGCACTCCCTTCAGCAGGGCGCCCTCAGACAAGGTAATGACACGACCTTCTGGGGGAACACACCTAAGCAGGTGCTGTTGTTCAGTTGCCCAGTTGTGTCCAACTCTAGGCGACGCCATGGACTACAGCATGCCCGGCTCCCCTGTCCTTCACTGTCTCCTGGAATTTGCTCAAACTCATGGTCTTTGAGTCAGCGATGCCATCCAACCTAAGCAGGGCTGACAGCCTAAAGCCAGGCTGGGTACCTACCCAGCCCTACCCCATTCCCTCTCTGCCACAGAAACCCCTGGGCCTTGAAAGTCCAAGCAGGTGCCAGGGTTCACCCACAGCTGACAGCCAAGGCTCCTTTTGACCCATCCTCCTGGAGCAGACAGGGGAGAAGGAAATGGCAACCCTCTCCAGTATTCTTGCCTGGGAGATCCCATGGACAGAGCAGCCTACGGTCCATGGGGTCACAGTCAGACACGACTTAGTGACCGAGCACCTGGGGCAGACAGTGGGATCAGCTGGCCAGTGACAGGATGACTTCTCCCCTCCCCACACCACAGAGTCCCCCTGCTTTTATAACCTTCCAGCACCTTCCATCAGCCCAGAGTCCCCAGCAGGACTGAGCTCCCGGCAGGCTCAGTCCAGCAGTTCCTTTTTGTCCTACGGCCTCTGCCAGGTCCAGCTGCCCAAGCTTCAGGTTCCAGGGGTGCAGCCCAGTGCCAGGGTCACCAGCGCACAGCTGGCCAGGGTGGACTGAGCCAGCTCCCTTCCCAGGCCTCCCCCCAGTGGGGACAGGGGAGAGCACTAGGTCGGACCACTGAGCTTGGGGCGCAGAGGTGAGAGGCGCCCAGGGAGTCCAGGACACAGAAGTCCCTCAAGTCCGCCTCACAGAGCCTGTGGGCTTCCCACTGGCTGCTGAACAACCAGGGCCCAACTCCTCAGACCAGCGCACACGGCCCCAGGACAGGACACTGCCAGCCCTCACACCCCAAGCTCCTGTCCAGCTTCACCCCCCACGTCCTGGCACGTGCTGCTCCTTTTTGCCTGAAACACAACTCCTCCCGGGCCACACATGCCTGTCCCTAAACAAGCCCCCAGTTAGAAAGTCACCGCATCTGGGAGGCCAGCCGCTACCCCCCACCCCGACATCCCCCCTCACCCCCAGCCCTGAACTGGGCTCCCTGAGCCCTCCAGCCATCTCGGGGCACCCTCCCCACAGTGAGCCCTGTCTCCGCCCGTGACCCTCCCTGGGGCACCAGGTAAAGAGGCACACGCCAGGCTGGGTCCTCTAATTCACCTCCCCTGCCCCTTACGTACCATTTTAAGGAGAAAAGCGTTACTGAGCAGGCAGTTTTTTTCCTTTCCCAGCCTTAGCACAGCTAACCCACTGGTTCCCCCCCAACCTAAGCCAGGAGCATTGCCTCCCTGGGGCCCCAGAGGAGCCGCTGCACCAGCTGATATGGGCTCCTTTTGAGCAGAGTTCTACCCTACCCGCATCTCCAGGTCTCTTAAGTCTGGTTAAATGCATTACACCCCTTGGTACATGCAAATAACCGAGGTCCACCCTCAGATTTCATCAAGGGTAGGGCTGCAAACCCCCGACACTGTATGCAAAATGGAGAGAGTCAGGCTACTGGCTTTCCATCAGGATCTCAAGAGAGGTAGACAGGAGACCGCTGACGAAAACAAGGTCTAGGACAACAGCCGGGGGACTTCCGGCTAAGACTCTGTGCTCCCAATGCAGGGGTCCCAGGTTTGATCCCTGGTTGGGGAACTGGATGTCGCACATACCAAGAGCTCACGTGCTACAACTAAGATCAAAGATCTGGAGTGCTGCAACTAAGACTCACTGTAGCCAAATAGATATTAAAAAAAAAAAAAAAGGACCACAGCCTGCTCTGAGAGTCTCCCTCCAGCCAGCATCTGAGCTCCTCAGCTCAGCGTGGCCCACTTTCAGCTAGACATCTCAATCTCGACTTGCTGCTCCCTCAGAACTGCTCCTCCCTTAGTGAGCAGCCCCCACCTTGTTAATTTCACCCCCAAGTACTGTGCCGAGTACTGACTGGTCACCCCATTCCCTCCCCTGCAGCCCAGCGAGCCCACCCATCACATCCCGCTTACATAGGCGGGTCCCTGTGCCTTCACCGCCCTACTCCCTGCCCTGGACTCCTCCAGCTGTTTCAGGGCACTTGGAGTGACGTTGTCGGCTGGCACTCCCTGAGCCCTTGGCACCCAGTTCAAGAAACACAAGTGGTCTTAAACATTTGAGGAAGACCAGGAAAGAAGACATCTATCAGGCACCTAGCACATGCTGGATGTTTCTGTGCACCAGCCATGGTTCAAATGAGAAAACCGGGGCTCAGAGAGGTTAAGCAATTTGACAAGGTCACAGAGCCCTCGGGACTAGGATTTGAACAAGGTCTGCTTTCAACACAGCAAGGAAGGTACAGGAATATTAAATACTCTTGGCGACGGCAGGGTCCATCACTTGGCACTGGAGCAGCCTCTCAGGCGGAGCTCTGCAGGCCATGGGAACAGGAATTAGCCGGGCTGGTGGCATCAGAAGTTGGACTTGAGCTGAGGGTTGCAGGGACCACAGCACACGAGACCACTGACTACTGTCTGTTGAGGCTCCAGGGGCCTGTGCCATCCTGGAAGCAGGGCGTAGCCTCCTCCCCTCTCCCAGCACAGGGAGCTTTTCAAAGAGGCTACATGTGGGAAGATTTTACAGAAAGGGAGAGGACAGAGATTTGCAAGAAAATTGCTAACGGGAAACACATGTGAAAATGAAAACTCGGGCAAAGTGGGAGGAGGAGGAGGGGAGGAAGGAAAAGATGTGTTCAAGGATTATACACTGAGTCAAGAAGCCAGGGAATGAAGGCCAGCTCTATCTGTTATCTTGGGAAGGCCAAGGACCCACTTGCTGCCTTCATGTTCCCTTTCAACCCAGGCGGAAGGAAGCAGTGTGACCTTAGATGGTCAGTACCCAGCAAGAGAGGAACAGCGAAAGCCACACTGTCAGCCACAGCGTACAATCCTGATGGCTGTGGAGCCATGACCCACAATTGGTAGAGGAAGAACCCGGGGCTCAGAGAGGCTGCTCTACTTCCCCAAGATCACACAGCGTCTGAGCTATAAAGCTGGAGACTGAGTCCAGGTCTGCCCGGTTTCCAAGCTCATTCCCTTGAACCACATCAGGATGTCACGTCATAAATCCTCCCACCACCGTAACGTGGCTCTACTTCCTTCCTTCAAGAAACTGGGCACTAATAAGACCTCTACAGGTTACCTACTTTGTGGGTTTCATTAAATTCAAGATGCCTTCGATTTCAAGATGCACCATTATTTCAAGTATGCTAAGAGATGGCACTGTCAAATTATAACACACCAACAAATGTATGACACACAGCAATTTAAGATGTTAAAATGTGAGAAAAAAAAAGTATGTCTTAGGATCTATAAAATACAGTGTGAGTATTAGTGGGGAAAGGGACTCAGCCAGTTCCTTGGCTGTGTGTATGCTCAGAGAAGGGTAGGTGACAGCTCCAGGCATGCATGTGTGCGTACACATATGTACGTACGTATGCACACATACACACACCACTGTACTGTGAGCTCCTTCTCTGCTAATAACTCGTGCAGATGATCACACGACAATGTGCTGGCCAGACCTGCCTTGTCAACAAGGACCCTCATTTTTCCAGGCCACCAATTCAAGGTCACTCAACACTGTCAGCCAGAGCTTGTCCTGACCACCACCCACCTGGCCAGCCGGCTTGGCCAGCTTCGCCTCAGGGGTGCTGCAGACCTCCGAGTAGCCAAGCTGGAGAGACAGGCAGGTCTGCTCCTTGGAAAACTCCTGAGGGCAATCACTCGATGGGGCCAGGTGGCTGCACAGCCCACACCTTGCCACTGGCCCCTCTCCCGGTCTCCTGGGGCCTGCGACCAGCCAGAGCCACAGTGCTTCAATAAAGCGGGGACTGCACGGCAGCGGCAGGCGGGCAGCCCAGGTCTAAGCTGGCTTTTCCAGCTGAGCATAGGTGGACAGACAGGCAGGCCCCGGCTGGAGGTGAAGGGCAGAGGCGCAGATGCCCTCTCCTTGGTAGAGAGGCCACGGCCCTGCAAAGCAGGCAGCCTCTGGGAGGAGGCGCCAGGCCCAGCCCCACACCAAGCCCTGGAGGAGATGGCTGGCACCTGGGAACACGTTCTGCATCTCACTCACAGACCGCCTCTGGGCAGGCAGCAGTTATTTCATCCAACCCCAGAGTCGGAGTCTGCAAAGGCCACGTTGGTTTATTTAAAAGCACAGAAGGACTTCCCTGGTGGTCCAGTGGTTAAGCATCCACTAGTCAACGTAGGGGACACGGGTTTGATCCCTGGTCTGGGAAGACTTCACATGCCACTGCACCACAACTACTGAAGGCTGCAGGCTCGAAAGCCCATGTTCTGCCACGAGGGAAGCCAGTGCAGTGAGAAGCCAGTGTACCCAACTAGAGAGTAGCCCCCACTCTCTGCGACTAGAGAAAAGCCCACATAGCAATGAAGATCCAGTACAGCCCTATATAAATACATTAAAAAAAAATCTAAGTTAGTGACAAAAAGTGAAACTATATAAAGATTAAAAAAAAAAAAAGCACAGAAGCTAAGGACATGCAATCTTGCTCCTCCCATAACCGTCCTCCGGTAGTGTAGTTTTTCCCACCACCTTCCTGTTTCAGGGCTGACAGCCTCCCTGTAAGAAGTTCTGTTAGGGACTTCCCAGGCGATCCATTGGTTAAGACTCCGTGCTTCCAATGCAAGGGGTGAGGGTTCACTCTCTGGTCAGGGAATGAAGATCCCATATGCCACAAGATGCAGCCAAAAAGTAAAAATAAAAAGCAGTTCGGTTAGGTGCTATGGCTATCAGTCATAAGAATCAAACCAGCAGAATTCTGAAAGAACTAAAAATAACAGTTTGCTCTTATGCCAAGCACTGTTTTAAATGTTTTCCATACATTTACATATCTGATCCACATAACCACCTTACGAGGGAGGCAGTAGCATCATTCTCTTTCCACAGACAAGGAAACTGAGGCACAGACAAGTTAAATAAGTTTCCTAGGATTCCACAAACAGCAACTGGCAGAGCCAGGACTTGAACCCAGAGAGCCCAACTCCGGAGCCCAGGCTCTCAGGGACCACACTATGCTGACCCTAGTTACCTAATCATCCACCATGCGCCAACTGAGCAAGATTCAGAACCCACTCTGGGTACTGCAGGTCACAGGAGCTCATGTTATCTGCATTACTACCCTATGAGGTGGATAGTATTATCACACCCATTCTACAGGTGGGAAAACTGAGGCTCAGGAAGTCAAGATAGCAGTTGGTGGTGTAGTCACTAGGTCGTCTCTGACTCTGCGACCCCATGGACTGTAGCCTGCCAGGTTCCTCTGTCCAAGGGATTTCCCAGGCAAGAATCCTGGAGTAGGTTGCCATTTCCTTCTCCAGGGGATCTTTCCGACCCAGGGATTGAACCCGGGTCTCCTGCACTGGCAGGGGGATTCTATACCACCTGAGTCACCAGGGAAGCCCAGGAAGTTGAGGTAGCCTGCCCAAAGAACAATTTCATACAGCAGAGCTAGGGATCTAGATGTAGGTGTTTTCTGGCTGTAACACTTTTTTTCCTGCTTTAAGAAAATAGGCATTGGGTGCCTGAGCACTTGTGTTTTGAGGCAGGTATTTCTCCCAGGAAAACGGGTGAGCAAGAAGAAACTTGCTCCTATGTCTCTCCTATCCGAAGCGGTAGAATGAAGTCTGGTGCTGACAGAAGACCCCTCTGCTCTCTGATCCCTGGTCCACCGCAGACAGCACTGGCTACATACAATGCACGTGGTCCCTTTTTATGGAAATTAGGCCTGCAGAGCGCAGGAGGGTGGGGGTGATAAAAGATGACTCAAGGGTGAGCGAGCTCCCACCCACTCTCCCACACTCCCGTTCTGATTAGGCCTTCCTCTTTTCAATCCCTTAAAAGAGAAAAGCACCCATAAGCAGAGCTGCAGATATTAATAATAACTGCTACAGAGCTTTGTTTTCATTTGAATCATGTTTACATTGCTGGGGAAGAACCCACTTGTCTGGAAAGACGAAGCAGGTTGAATCAATTAAAAATATGTCCAAAAAAAAAAAAATATGTCCAACAGTCGGGCAACTTCCCATTTCTGGAAGGAAGTCAAGAAGTGGGGTTAGAAAAGTCAGTATTACTTGTACTGTCTGCCAGAAGGAGCTGTGTCAAGGTCACTGGGACCCCGCCTCCCCCAGACCTCCACGTGCCCCTTGGAGGATGCACTGGTTTCTGGATACCCGGCTTCTCCTTCCACTTCACACACACATCCACCATCAGGGCCCTCAGCTATACAGAGATGAGCCCGAGGCTGCTGCCCAGGTGCGTGAGCGCCTCTGCTGGGCTCCCAAGGAGACCAGGGCACACAGGTGAGCGGCCACCCGGCCATGTGTAGAGGGAGTGAAGAGGGCGCTAAGGGAAGTCAGGGAGCCGGAGGAGGAGACCAGGAAGCTGAGCCCTGGGGGCGGGGGGCAGCCAGAGTGAGGTCGAGTGTGGGCTGCCAGCTCTCTGCAGGTCTTGAGGGCTGTGCCTGCTGCACCCCTGGCAGCAGTGGCCGGTGGGGATGGGGGGGACAGTCCCGACCATGATCCACCAGCTTCGACCGCGTTTATGGACACCATCCAGGTGGGTTTTGCTAGTATCGACGTGAGGAATGGAAACAACAGCCCGACAAGAACAGTTTCCATATTTACTCGGACAGGCTCATCGGACCCAGAGATGGCCACGCACCCCCACACCTCTCCCCAGGAACGCCTTCACGTCCACACCCCTCGACCGCGGGGGCCAGGTGAGGACCGAGCACTGAAACGCATCTGTGCCCGCGGTGTTCTCAGCTGCACGGCTGCTCTCCTCCTGGACCCCGGCTGGCCCCTGGCACAGCACACCTGCCCCGGTCTCTCGGCGGCCTCCCTTCAAGTCCGTGGGTGCACCTCGTCAGCCGTGGACCTACTGCCGGGCCTCTGTGGTCATGCTGCAGGCTTTCTCTGTTTGCCTGCCTTCTGCTGTCAGTGAGCTCCCCGAAGGCAGGGACTGCTGTTGGCTGGGTTCACTGCTGTGTCCAGCACAGAATCTAACACAAATTAGATGCTCAAATATTGCTGAATGAAGGAATTGCCTGGGCCTGGCAATGTGCTTGGTGCAGGCTGGGGGGATAGGTATGGGGAAGGATCTGTGCCCTGGAAACCACCTAGAGGAAGAGACTGTGTACCACAGCCCGGGGACATGTTCACACAATGTCCAGACAGATGCCAGGTGGGCCTGCCCGATCAACAAGCCTGTCGTGTGCTCAGCTGGCGGTGGGCAGGTTATCCAGCTGCGAGAGCAGGCAGTAGAAGCCCTGAATGGTTCTCCCCATTCAAGAGGCCAGTGACTTGATGCCATCAACGCCCAGTTGCTGGGTCAAGTCACAGAGGAAAACGTCCACCCCCAGGGATCCTGCAGAGCCAAGGCACTGTGCCCACTGCCAAGGCCAGGCAGCAGACAATGCCAGAGATACTTCTTCATCCAAAGGCAATAAGCCTTGTGCTGGGGGGCAGAGGGAGGTGGGCTCCCTCTGCCCAGACTGTCCCCTTGCCCCCTGTCTAAGGTCCTGGGTCCCCGAGGTGCCTACCTCCCAGAACTGCTCATCTGCTATTTTATTTGGAACCTCTCTCCACCTGCTCCCCCTGTGTGCCTCTTCTCTATCTACACCTAAAATATAAAAGGCAAAGTGAGGGCTTCCCTGGTGACTCAGTGGTAAAGAATCTGTCTGTCAATGCAGGAGATGTAGGTTCGATCCCTGGTCCAGGAAGATCCCACATGCCACGGAGCCACAAAGCCTGTGCACCCCAACTACTTAACCTGTGCTCTAGAGCCCGTGCTCCGCAACAACGGAAGCCACCGCGCGGAGAAGCCGGCGCACCGCAACTAGAGAGGAGCCCCTGCTCTGTGCAATTAGGGGAAGCCCGTGCAGCAACAAGGAGCCAGCGCAGCCAATACATAAATAAAATTATTTTAAAATAAATAAAAAGTGCAACTGTGAAGCCCCTTAAAGCAGGATCAGCTGTGAAACATCCCTTGGCACAAGAGCCACCTCAGAGGAGGGAATGGAGCCCTAGGAAAAGAAGTTTCTAGCCACCGTGGTGAGGAATGAGGAAGGTGCTGGCAGGTGAGAGCTGAGCGGGCTCCAGTGAGCAGCTGAAGAGAAAGCCCTGGGTGTGGGGCTAGCTGGTCCCTGCAGGAGGGGAAGGGGCCAGGAGGCCAGAGGCAGCCAGTGTGCTTTGGGGAGGGGCCTGAAGGCTCTGAAGGGAAGCCAGGAGGGAGGGAGGGTGGAAGACAGGAGAATATTCACCAACCAGCAGTTCTCCTGCTGAAGCTAGTGCCTCCCTAGGGCAGGCTGCTCCAGGCACTCTGATTTCTTCTTTCTGCCCTCAGCCAACAAAAGTCCTTTCCAAGGACAGGCTCCAGGCAGTCTCTCTTACTGGTCCTCCTTGGGGCAAAGGCCACGCCTCCTGCCTGCTCACCTGGTCTGGCTTGTCCTGTCCATACTCTAGGCACAGTCTTATCTCATGCCTGCCTTAGTCATCTGCCCCACCGTCTCCATCAAAGCCAGGGTCTCCAAATTACAGAGTTGTCCCCCAGTTGGTATCTGCCCAAGTTGTACTGCCTCCTACTTAAGAATCCCACAGGGGACACAGGTGCCTGGGTGAAGTCACAGGGACTTTGGAGACAAGCCAGATCAGCTCCTCCCTGAGGGCTGGGGCAGGGCAGGGTTGAGCAGGGAGGAACTGGCCCCAGATTATCAGTCCCCCACCTCCAAACAGCCTTCAAACACCTGGAGGGGTGGAAAGTGTCCAGAGTTTATAGCCCTTGGGCACATAATCGGCATTTCATGAATGTCAGCTGAGCAGGGTAAGGCTTGGGACAGTCGTGGAGTAAGCTGGTGGCGAGTGGGTGGCAAGACCAGTGACTTGCCAGTCAAAATCAGTGACTCTAAGACTCCACCAAGGCTGGGCTAGATGGTTACAGAGAGATAAGAGAACCCTACTGCAGGGTTCTGAGGTGCACCAGCTGGGACCCTCCTCCCAGCCCTCACTGTAACCACATTTCACCAGGGAAAGGACCTGGGGGTGTTCCTTCCCGGGAGCCCCTGAGATGAGCACCAGGCTCCAGGAAGGGAGGGCAGAGGTTTGGTGGATCACCAGGAATCAGCCCAGCGGGCTGCCACCCAAGTCCCACATGCTGAGTATCTAAGTCCAGCTCCCTCACTCTCCTTTGAGGAGGCGGCCTGTAAATCAGTCAAGGGACACTGGCATGTCCCTCAGGGCTGAAAGATGTGTCCCCTCCAGCCATCTGTAGGAGAGCAGGGGAGAAGGGGACATGTGGAAAGAGGTACCCTGGAGGGTGTGTAAGGATGGGAAGAAATAAAGTCCGGGGCTGCGTAGGGTTCCTACAGCTCTCACTCAGTTCTCCAAGCCTGCTCCGCCCAGACCTCAGAGAGAAGCGGCTGTGACAACTGCCACGACTACCGGGGCGGACCGGCGGGTTCTTGGGGCCCTGAGAACTAGGAGCTGGGAGCCCGCGCACACGTCCGGCCTCCGTATCCTCTCGGCTGGGAAGGAGCAGGGCCAAACCCCAAACCAGGCTGGTCCTCCCTCCTGTCTAGCAGAGACCCTCGAAGATGAGGGGAGCCCGGGAACAGGGTCCGTGCAGCTTGCTAGAGCTACGGGAAAACTTCGCCCTGGACGGCCCGCTTTGGGACTCAGTAGGGCCAAGGGCAGGGAGCTAGGGTAACACAGGTCCCGGAGGGGCAGGCGCCCTGGGAGCCGAGGTGGGACGCGGGGGCGGGGGATGTCCCAAGGGAGGCGAACGGGCAAACAAACCTCCTTTCCAGCCCACTAGATCGCCCTCTAAACACCTTCTGAAACGGCGCCTAGAAGTAACTGACCGCCTCTCCTCGCGCCCCGGGGCCACCGCTGCCCACCCTCGCACCAGGGAGCCGGAGAGGGTCGGGGGTGGCGACTTACACCCCTGAGGCCCAGCTCACCCGGGCGCAGGTAACCGGACCTCTCCGGCCAGGGGGACCCTCCCAGGGAAGCGGCCGGCGCCCGGACTGCGGGCGAAGTTCCGTGATCCGACAACTTCCCCAGTCCCGGGCCCACGGGCCCGGCAAGGTGCGCGTCGTCGGAGCCCCAAGCCCTCCCCCTGCCCCGGCAGCCGCTTACCTGGCCCCCGGGGGCAGGCGGGGTGCGCATCCCCGTCCGGCCGCGCGCGGGTCGGTGTGCTGCAGAAAGGAGAAACGGGCGGGAGCGGGTCGGTGGGGCGAACCGGGAAGCGGCAGGCCGAGCGCAGGGAACAGCCCGGTGCGCGCCGAGACTGCGTGCCGGGTTCGGCACCAGTTGACGGCGCCGGCCCCGCCCCCACCCGCGCCCGTTGCCGGGAGACCCGCGTGGGCCGAAGGGTTCTTTGTATCAAAGCTGCCGTGACATCATGAGGCGCCCGGGCTCCGGGTTCGAAGGGGGCGGGGCCTCGCGCCGGGGGCGGGCCGAGAGGAGAAGGAAGCGCGGCCTGGGAACCCGAGCCGCGGGGGGCGGGGTCCAGGTAACCCCGCCCCCTAAGGTAGGGGCAGGTGGCGGGGGCGACGCCGGTTATTGGCCGCGCGGCCGCGAGGCGGACCCGGGCCACGCCTCCTTCCCCGGGCCCCAGCGGGCGCCTCCGGAGGTGGAGCTCGCCTGGGCCCTCTCGAGCCCGCGCCGCCAGGTTTCTGCCGCCGGCGTTTGGGCGGCCGGGGCCCTGGGATTCCGGAGTTTGTAAATTCACGCGCCTCTTAGGCGGGCGCTGTGACCGCCGCTGCCCGCTCCAGGCTACTCTCAGTTTGCCGTCATTGCTTCCTGGTTCACGTTTGCGGACGCGAACGGAGACCCGCCGACAAGCCCCCACGCCCACCGTCGCCGCCCACTGCCACCAGCCTGAGTCTCAGTTCAGGTCACTTCAGTCGCTCAGTCGTGTCCGACTCTTTGCGACCCCATGAATCGCAGCACGCCAGGCCTCCCTGTGCATCACCAACTCCCGGAGTTTACTCAAACTCATGTCCATCGAGTCGGTGTTGCCATCCAGCCATCTCATCCTCTGTCGTCCCCTTCTCCTCCTGCCCCTAATCCCTCCCAGCATTAGGGTCTTTGTGACTCCTAAATTGATTCTCATTCTGAATCCCACCCACAAGTTTCCCGACCTTTTGATGTAAAGTCAAAGTTGTCTTTTTAACCAGTATGGGAATACAAGGAACCAAGCAAGCGGCAACAAGAACTAAAAAAAACAAGGAAAGCACCTCATCTGTTGGATCCTAGTAAGTATAACATAAGTAAAAAATGTGCTCCCTCATAACTCTTCATTATGCTGCGGATTAAAAGACGGCAAAATGTAAACCAGCAAATTTTGCAAGCGTGGCTTCCCTTTGACTTGACGTTGCATTGTGTAACCGGGGAGGGTGCAGAGCGGACTGATCCTCCTCTCGGTTCAAGCCCATGTGAAGCTATCTTGGCCATCCCTGAGTTCTCATTGACCAACAAGGTGGCACTTTGGTATGGGTAGCGCCCTTTGGTCCAACATCAATACACGCGCGTGCACACACACACACACACACACACACACACACAGGGTTTTCAGCCCCCTTATCTGCGCTCTTTGCTCTCAGCTTCCTCTCTCCCCAATATCTCCCTTGTAAACAAACTTCCAGCTGCCCTTCTGTTTACCAGGGCCTGTCTCTTGAGGCAAAGCATTCCACTGGGGCTCTCAGACCTGCTGGGGACCCTCCAAAATGGACAGCATTAGCCAGAGGGTGGGGAGCCTTCTGGCCAGGGTTGCATGTGGGAGGAGGCTGGGGCAGTGTAGGTGGAAACTCTATCACAACTGGCCCTCTCCTCCCTGCTTATGCGCTGCAGTTCTCAGATCTACATGTGGAGGCCACAGACTGTTTCTCACTCTGGTTTTGTGTCCACCCCCACAGTCCTAACACTCAGGAGCATTGTGGTGTACCAGAAAGAGCAGTGGCTTTGGAATCAGACAGAACTCGGTTTGAATCCTTCTGGCCAGTTGCAAGTCTTAGGACAAGTTCTATGACATCTCAGACTCAGTGTGTTCATCTGTAAAATGGGACTGGCACTTCATGGGTGGTTTTGCATGCTGACCCAGTGGGTACACTTGATTTTAGGCATTCATCAAAGGTGTGCTGCCTGACTGAGTCCATGCACCCTGGGCCTGCTCTGCCTTTTCAGCTCCACCCTGAGACCTTAGCTTGGCTCCCTCAGGTGAGGTTTTAGGGTGGTTTTAGAATCCTGGGGTTCTGTCTCAGTTTCTGCTCTTTCCTTCCAAGTCTCTTGTTGCCCCTTTAAGGAGTAATAGTTCCAGAAGGCAGGTCACATGACAGGGTCACCCAGAACAGGGGAAGAGAAGCAGAAACCCAAGGTGATCTTGGCTTTCTCAAAGTCAAGGTTAGTGGAGAGTCAGACTGCCAATCTCCTCCTTACCCCACTAGGGGGAACCTGATGGACATGGTCCAGAGCTCCGTGGAGGGGGTGATGCTACTGATCCCTCTTTATTTTTCCTGAAACTGGTGTGGTGGGGAGCATCTCCAGGTATTTGTCCTGAGAAGTAGAATGACAGAGAGGAGTGTCACAATATGCTATCACAACTCAGCACTGGACAAGCTGAGTTAAAGCCTGCCAGTCCTCCAGTGTACCATGGGCAAGTCATGTAATAATTCAGAACCTCAGTTTCCACCTCTATAAAGTGGGAACAAGACTTTTCCTCTTCTAGCTGTGA